ATATCAGTGTAAGAAGAAACCAATATTGATTTTAAAATAAACCAGGGCACAGGCCAATTGCAATTTATAGGAAAAACGAAAATATAGGAAGATCTCCCCACCCCGTGCTGAAAGTATACTTCCTCAAACACGCTGTCATCATTAGGAAGCCTAGGGGTAGACTGGGTGAATTTACAGCATATTAAATAATTAAATGGCATAGCCAAGTTTTGTGTATGTGGTCCCCCAAATTTTTCAACATATTTTTGACATTACAGTTGTAGAAGTGGAAACTGAAGAAATTGTAAGTATTTTCTTAAAAATAGGTGACAAGTTTCTTACAGATCCAAGAGCAAAATCGTGACTCATCACCCCCATAACACAAGCTATTCTGTCCAAATGACCTATCAGACATAAATTCATAGGACATCAGAATCCCAAGGTCTGAGTGCTTCCCTTATATATACCTCTAATTTTCCTCCCTGAACTACATAGGTTCTCTTTCCAGGTCAAATGATATCTTCTGATAGAGTACCTTCCGGATAAATATGCTTCGTCACATCCCACAATACAAGCTACGCTTTACAAGCTTCGACTCAGCTCCTGGTCTCTTTACTCGGAATCCCCACACTTACTTAAAAGAATCATGTAAAACACTTCAGAAAACAACATTCCCCCTAAAAAAGAGAGACTTATTCAAGGGAGTGTGCTATTTCTAATGCATGCCCTGTCTTAAAAAGTCCAACTCAACCTCAATTCCCAAAAAGAGCTTCAGTGGTCTCCCATTCGGCGACTTGGTATTTGCTTATTTTCTAAGTGTACTGATTAAATAAAAAGAAATGCAAATAATAAATGGCAATTAAATAACAAGCCTAAAATAAATTTTTAAAAAAATACATGGTCTGGTGGGTTTTAGACAAGACGCTAGAGAAAGGTGAGTTCACATTCCCTTCTGTACCAGTTTCTACAAGAAGTGGGCAACACTGCCCTCTAGAGGACATGTTACGTTATGTCCGTTAGTTCGTTTGGTGCGAAAGTGACCCAAGATGCGTTGAGCAATATACATTCTTTTGCTCCTGAGATACAGTCTGCCCTTGACCTTCTGTAAATGACTCTGAAGACCACGAAATCCCCCGAGAGGCCGTGAGACTTCACAAAGTCATATTGCAGGGGATCAGAAATAAACGTTTGTTGCAGTGGTTATTAAACCGTCGTGTGCACCACAATCATCCACAGGGCTTGTTGAACGAGGGTTGCTAGACTCCACATCCAGAGTCTCTGATCCCATAAATCAGAGGTGGAATCAACAACGTGCTTCCTGACAGGTTCCCCAGGTGACGCTGATTCTGCAGGTCAGGGACCACACCGTGAGCTAGGAGCTTGGTGGGACTGAATAGCTCAGCACAGGGTGAGCTGTTACTATCTGTGCTACAGAAGCCTAGTCTCAGGGAGATGAGGTGGCTGCTGTTAGTCACTTCATCTTTCTCAGCCTCAGCGTCTTCATGAAGGGGGAGAGACTTTGCAGGCTGTTTAGTTGGCTCCCTGGCTCCGAGTACCTGAGGTCTGGATTTGAAACCACCCAGGAAAGGTGCACTCCATCCCCAGGCTGAATCTGGAAATGGGTAAGCTGAGAGGGGAGGAGGAGGGATGCCAGGACTGGGTCCTGAATGCTCCTACAGAGGGGGGTCTGGATTGTTGTAGATTCGAGTTCTTTGTATCAGAAACTCTGGAAGAGACTTTTTTTGTTTCTGTTCTTTGTGTGATTTTGGAGAGGTTTTAGCTATAGGGTGCGTGCGTGCGCTCGCCAGACAGACAGAGAGAGACAGAGAGACACAAAGCGAGAAGTCACCCCCCAGGGGGGGATGGTCACGCCACAATCCCTTCTCCTCCATTCTCCTCTCCGGATCTTGGGCACGCACACACACGCGCCCGGCGTGAGTTTTAAGCCACCGGGTCCCGGACGCAAAAGCGAACCGCGGTCAACTACGTGGGAGTCCAGCGACATAGCCATTATGCTAACTGCTGGTTCCCTGGAAGAGAGGTTTTGAAGCAAGTATTTCCTCTCGGTGGACCATTTGGAGGACCTCAGAGCCTAGTGGGGCTTGGAGAGGACCTAGAGGGCGCCACCCCCTCCAGGCTCAGCTCAGACCACGAGGGCACAGTCAGGGACCTCGAAAGAACTTTAAAATAGGAGTGCGAAGGTTTTGATAAAGGAAAGTTTCAGGGTCACATATTCCCCTGGGATCACGCGAGTGCGAAGCAGGATGTTACAGCGGTGGAAAACGGTGGGCCGTGAGGACCCACCCAATCAAGAACGGTTTTTCTCATTTTTTTGCACCCAACTCCTAACCCCAACCGGTGTTTTCCTGCAAGAGTTATAAATCTGGAGCATCCCGTGGAGATAGTTTCTGGTCTCCATCACTAGGGAGAAAGGATGTCAGAAAAACAGCCCTGCGTGCTGGGCCCCAGAGGTCGTGAGGTCCCGGCCATGGCTGGACTTGGTGCAGAGCAGGGCCCGGCACTCCAGCTGCTCGCTGAACTCGTCCAGAGCCCCGGTGCAGGACTCCAGGCTCTCGGCCAGTTTCTGAATCTTGGCCTTCAGCACGGCCTGGCTAACCTTGCTGGCCCCCTCGGCCCGCCTGGGAATGAGGAAGCCTCGCGAACCGAAGAAGACGATAAAGTAGACCGAGTTGTACAGGGCGATGGAGGCGTTCCTGCCACACTGCAGCAGCTGGCGGTCCCCGCGGCCCTGCCCGCGGCAGAAGAACTCGAGGCAGCTCAGGATCTCACGCATTTGGTCCTGGCAGGTGGCGGCGATCTCTTGCACCCTCCGCAGTTCCCGGGAGTTGAAGAAGATCAGGGAGAGATCCGACGTGATGGTGACGGCCCCTCCGGCGGTGGCCACCCCCAGCCCCACGGCAGACGCCAGGAGTGAGGCCCCCAGGGTGATCGGACTGAGCGAGAGCCCCACGATGGCTGCGACGGCGCCAGCTGCGCTCAGCGAGCTGCCCGCCACGTTGGCCGCCAGGGAGCGCCGGCGGAGCCGCTCCAGGCGCCGGGCCACCTCGCGCAGGCGCAGCACCTGGCTGTGCAGCCGACCCCGACGGTCCAGCAGCAGCCCCTGGAAGCGCCTGATCGCTTCCGCGCCTTGCGGCTCCCAGGCGCCCGGCCACTCCATGCCCTGCGGGGACACAGACACGCAGTTAGCCCGTAGTCTCGGTCTGCTGCTGCTCTGGCTCGCCGCTGCCCGTGCGCAAGCGAGACTCGTCAAAGCTTAAACCCTCCAGCCACTGCCACGCTAGCGGACACGGTCAGCGCCCAGTGGGTCAAGTGTCAAGTTCTCAAAGACCAGTTCTAGAATCTGGGACAAGTCACACCATTTCTCAAGACCTTATACCCGCATATGCAAATAGAAATGAGACTGTGTCTTCTCTCCTGGAGGACGCCGAGGTGGATAATGCGTTAAGTAAGATTTAAACTTGGTGAGGAGGGGCGTGCTAGTATTAAAAGCCCACTCCAATACTGAGGCCTTTGCTCAGTTTCAAAAAAACACTTGACAAGCCCTTACACGACGGGAAGACTTGGGTCCTAGGAGTTTGCAACATACAACAGTTCTCTCTCTCTCTCTGGTGGGTGAAAAAAACAAGTTACCCAAACCTCAGAGACCATATTGTCTATATAAGAAAGAATAGGTCAGCTCAGTGGTAGAGGCAATGCCCCACTCAAGAGAAGTCAGAGCCCCAGACCAGCCAGAGGGTAACAAGCCTCCAGCAAGAGGCCCCTGGAGGACTAGGGGAAGGGGACTGCACGGTGAGCCCATTCTGCAGAGGGTGCCCATCTCTCGTGCAGGTGCACACCTATATATAGTCTATCGTGCATAAAGAAGAGATTAAAAAACAGGATGCTTTTCTGAAGCAACTCTTCTGCTTATTATTCTTCCAGGCCCTTAGAACCAACCTTAAAGTGTGATTTGCATAATTATTCTAACTAGGGCTCTCAGGTCTTCAGAAATCTTAATCTTCTGTGGGCGCTTAATGACGACTAAAGCACATTACATTAATGCTACTCTGTCTCCTCATTCTTTAAAAAATGAGGAACAGTTGAATCAAATAAAGTAGCAAAAACAAAAGTAAATAAGTTAAAGCAGCCAAAATTTTTATTTGACAGCTCACAGTGTCGCCAGGTACCAAGCTGAATGGAAGCCAGTTGCAGATGACTAACAAAGAGAGTGGGGTAGGAGAACCAGTAGTTAACATAATGGCTATGTCGCTGGACTCCCACGTAGTCGACTGCGGTTCGGGTCCCGGACCTGGTGGCTTGAAACTCATGCTGGGCGCATGTGCGTGTGTGCCCAAGATCCCGAGAGGAGAATGGAGGAGAAGGGATTGCGGCGTGGCCATCCCCCCTGGGGGGTGATTTCTCACTTTCTGTGTCTCTGTCTCTCTCTGTCTGTCTGGCGAGCGCATGCGCCCTATAGTGAAAACCTCTCAAAAAAAAAAAAAAAAGAGTGGGGTAAAAGTGTGTCCTTCCCATGTGCCAAGAATCCCCACCTTAATATCCACTGCACCCTTCCTTAGGAGGGGTTTCTCAAAAGCGTTAAGTCATAGAAATAGAGCGCTTCAACTCTGTCGAGATCTCAGAGCAAAATCATTATTTTGGAAGAAGAGGAAACTGAAGCATAAACATGGTCTAGATGTCTCTCCTCAGAGAGCGCAAGCTAGAATCCTAATCTCCTAACTCACACATCTTAATTTTACAGGCATGCTTCCAGGACCAACCCACCAGTGATAAGTTTCCAAGTAAAAAGAAACAAGAAAAAAGCACCCCAATACGTGATGGACGGAGGACACAGCCCCGGTATGGCAAGCCCAGTAGCTATTTTTTCAGAATAGCATCCCTCTCGCTCCCCACTCACCATTCGCTTCTGGCTGCCTCTGAGAAAGAAAATGAGGCTGTTTCGGGATGAGCATGTTTTATAGTTCCAGAGAACCAATGGCTGCCCTGGGAAAGCCTTGTCTCATTCTGAGAATTGGCCATTTCCTGTCCTGACCCCTGCTGCCTTCGTCCAGAAGGATGTGACATGGTGGAAAATGACCGGCCAGCCAGCACATCCCGTATTTAGGAAATGAACATTGTGTGTGCGCTTTCCCCCCCAGCAGGAAGAGAACCACAGGCTCTTCCCCAACTTGAAACAGTGTTGTCATTTTCCCAGGGGGACACCCTGCCTTTCCTCTCCTGAGAATAGCTAATGACGTGTCCTGGGAGGTCTTCAGTGCACCTCAGGCACACCAATTACAGTGTTTCTTGAGAGGCGCCCTTAGAGAAACATCTTTTAAAAGAACAGGGGGTGGCGTGGAAACCCTCTAACATCGGCTGTAGCCACTGAGAGCCTAGGGTACCTGGGCCATTGAAACACGTGATCCACTTAGGGCGTTGCCTCGAGAACTCCAGGCCCGCCCACAGGAAGTGTGCGTGCAGTTTGGGGCATCTCCAGCTGTGCAGGAGAAGCTGGAGGTCTCAGAAAGGGCATGCTGCAGGCCAAATGCGTCACAAGAATCTGTGGGGTCAGGCTGCACAGGGAGCTAATTATACACTTTCAATAGCAGGAATTTGGCTTCCCAGGTTTTCACTGGGGGGAAAAAACGTAGCCCCTATGATAGTTAAATGAACGGATTCTAGCTACAGATTAGCGAAGCTTGGGCTACAAAGGCAATTATTCTGATAATTCAGGAGGGGAAAATTAGCATAGCATCTGTGGACTTGCCACAGACCCCGTCCCGTGGAGAATCGTATTTCTGGGGCATTTAATGGCCATTGGAGCTCAGCTGAGAACTCAGTTCTGCCACAGGGCCCTGGATACATACATGTTCCTTCTTTTCACACTGTCACCTTCAGATAAGGAAGTCCCAACCGGTTTTGCACTCAAGTGATTATTGTCTCAACTCTCTGGTTCATCTGGTAAGTCACAGCAGCCATCTCATTCTGGAGTATGATTTAATTCCCCATCTTTACCACTATGCTTGGCATTCATCAACAGCACCATTTGCTACTGCTTACAACCCCCATAGTCTTTTTTTTCTCCCTAGTTTGGTATCAGGCACGAGTATTCACCAGAGAGACAGAGATAGAGAGGGGGAAGAGTGAGACATCACCTTCTATGGGGGAGGGCCACACCAAATCCTTTCTTTTCTGATCTCCTCTCAGGATTCTGGCCATGGACACACAGAGCCGGCATGCGTTTTTCAAGCTGCCAGGTCCAAGACTTGAACCGCAGAGTCAGCCATGTGGGATCAGGCCACCTTAACAACAATGCCACCAGCTGGCACCACATTTTTTTTTTCTTAGGCAGGTTCTCAGGGCAAGCCCAGGACCTGGTAGCTTGCTTTCTCACTTTCCCTTTCTCTCTCTCTCTATCTCTCTCTGGTCAAATTAAATAGTAATAACAATAAAAAAATAGTAACAACAAATGGAATTCAATAAATAAATAATTATTTAAAAAGGGGGGGCAGCAGGTGGCATGGTAGTCAAGATGCTAGACACTCCCACATGCCCAACCACAATTCGAATCTGGGACCTGGCAGCTTGGTTTCTCACTTTCCCTCATCTCACTCTCTCTCTATATATATATATCTCTCTGGTCAAGTTTTAAAAAGAAATGAATGAATAAATGAAATTAAATAAATAATTCTTTTTTAAAAAAGGCAGGTTCTCATTTTGGTCATAATCCTCCTGCATCAATCTCCTAAGTAGCTGAGATTACATGCCTGGCTTTTAGGGTGGGCCTGGGAATTGAACCCAGGTCTCCCAGGTGGACTCAGCCCCAGAGGAGCAACATCTACCATCTTGCCTATCATAGCTAGGCCTCTACCTTTTTTTCCTCCAGTTTATTCATTTATTTCTTGACAGAGAGAGATCTGATGTCCAAATCCATTCCCAGTCTCAGTCAGCCTGGATCATGTGCATGCCCACATACCCAGAAAGGTCTCAGGACATGAACCCAGGACCTTCCCCATATGGGCCCAGTTGCATTACTGCAATGCCACCATCTGGCCCCTCCCTGCACCTTTGGGATAATAAGAAAAAGAACATCTTCCTCCGTCTCTATAGACCTAGTCATACAAAATGAGATGTGAGCCCGGGTGACTTGGGAGGTGGACAAAGAGAGACTGCATCGAGGCTTCAGTCTGCATGTGCTCTAGCTTCACCAGACGTGGTCTTGTGTGTCGTGGCCCAGATAAGTACCATTAAATCCGTATTGCATGGGTGGGGAATTTTGCTGGAATCCAGAGTCTTCTTCAGAGAATCAGTAATCATAGTACAGAAATGAGATGAAGAAGTAGAGGTGAACCAACCCATGGATTGCTGGTTAACATGGCTGGATCTCACATGGCTGACTGAACGGTCCAAGTCCCGGCCCCAGTGGCTTGAAAACAATTGCACCGGGAGTGTGTGTGTGTGTGTGTGTGTGTGTGTGTGTTTGTGCCCAAAATCCTGAGAAGAGGGAGAAATGGAGGGGAAGTGATTGAAATGTGGCCATTCCCATGGGGAGTGTTTTCTCACTTTCTCTCACTCACTCTCTGGTGATTGCATGTACCCTTTGGCAAGTACTTTTTTTAAAAAAAGTAGGAGGTTTAGGAGAATTAATAACATGTGCGTCAACCTCAGTCCATATCTGGAACTCGTTTTTCTCTGTTTTGAAAACTCATTTTCAGAGCCAGCAAGTGGTGTAAAGGTTGAGGCACTGGATTCCCACTTGGCTTACTGGGGTTCGAGTCCCAGACCTGACAGATTGCGCGCTCTCTCTCTCTCTCTCTCTCTCTCTCGTCAAATTGAAGAATGATGATAGAGGGAATCAGCAGTTAGCGTAATGGCTATGTCGCTGGATTCCCACGTAGTCGACCGCGGTTCGTGTCCCGGACCCGGTGGCTTAAAAAACTCACGCCGGGCGCGTGTGCGTGCGTGCCCAAGATCCCGAGAGGAGAATGGAGGAGAGGGGATTGCGGCGTGACCATCCCCCCTGGGGGGTGATTTCTCACTTTCTGTCTCTATGTCTCTCTCTGTCTGTCTGGCGAGCGCACGTGCCCTACAGTGAAAATCTCTCAAAAAAAAATGAATAATGATACATAAATAAAATTAAATGGATAATTCTTTTCAAAGTTCATAATAAATTTTTTCAAAAGAAAACTCATCTTCTTCATATATGCCTTTTTTTTTTTTAATTTTGCCAGAAGGCCTCTATGCTCAACAAAGACAGAGAAACAGAAGGTGGGGAGAAAGCTTCCCTGTGGGGCATGGTCACACCACAATCCCTTCTCCTCCATCTCTCCCTCCTTTCAGGATTTTGGACATGTATGTACCCTTGCCCAGTGTGCTTTACAAGTCAGCAGGTCCAGGCCTCAGCTAGCTAGTCAGCCATGTGGGATCTTGCTACCTTAACCTCCAGGCCACAGAACTGGCCCCATATTTGTCTACTGATGGAGGGAAAAATGGAGTCGTGTGACAGCATGAACTACTTGAAGTTTGTGTACTGCCCGTAAAACCTGGTTCTGCACGTCATCTACAAACACTGACGCTTGAACTTAATTATTTTTTATTAAATTGTATTTCATTTACAATTAATTTCATAAACAAACTGTAATAAGCATGACCAAACAACGAAGAAAGTTCTTAACTAAGTTTTATGGACAAAAAAATAAATTATTTCAGTAGCTATGAAATCTGAACCAGCGGTTAGCGTAATGGCTATGTCACTGGACTCCCACGTAGTCGACCACGGTTCACGTCCTGGACCTGGTGGCTTAAAACTCACGCCGGGCACATGTGTGTGCGTGCCCAAGATCCCAAGAGGAGAGTGGAGGAGAAGGGATTGCAGCGTGGCCATCCCCCCTGGGGGGGTGATTTCTCACTTTCTGTCTTTCTGTCTCTCTCTGTCTGGCGAGCGCACACGCCCTATAGCAAAAAAACCTCTCCAAAAAAAAAAAAAAGAAAAGAAAAGAAAATAGCTATGAAATCTTTTTCTTGCTTTCACAGAAATTAATGTATTGCATACAAATATTTTCACTGTCTTTAATGCACAGATTGAAGAGTAGACAATGTTTTATTTTTTACATAGAATTATAAACAGTCTTTTAGAACTTAATTCTTTCAATTCAGCATTTGTTTTCTTTCATAGAGTAAAGCACAATAAGAAACTTGAGAACAATTGAAGGTATTTTGATAAACTGCTCTGTGTGAACAGTTTCCCCCCCCCAAAAAAAAATCTATGGACTGCATTCTCAAACTTCTTTTATCAATTGAGTGTTGGGCACATGTCCCATCAGCCCCCAGGGACCACATTAAAAATGGTGGTTGGCCTCAGATCCGTTAAACTCTTGATGTAGCTGAGTTGTAGCACTAACTGTATGGCTTCAGTTCTGAGTCCTAGAACCACCAGGAAACTCAGTGCAGGAAGGAAGGGAGGCCTGGAGCTCCTCATCGGAATCTCCAGGCCCCAGTTCTAGGTAGTCTAACTCAGGAGGTCTGGGGTGGGGTCAGGGGATTCTGATCTGCCCCCAAGGTTGTGAACTGCTGCTCAAGAAGCTGGTAGTTTTCTGACTGCTGGTTATATGGCAGTGGAAGCAGTAAGGCTAGGACACAGTAGTTAGTTAGACAGTTATATTGCCATGTTATTAACAACCTATTGGTTTTAGGAGTCTTTTTAAACTATCACACTTTAAAGATAAACCAATAGTTATACTCAGGACTTCCCAGAAGCCTGGGCCACCTCCATTTTTGAGACTCCCAGTGAATTTTTTTTTTAAAAAATGAAGAAATTATAAAACAATATAAATAACTGCGGGGTTTTTAATTTTGTTTTGTTTTGAGAGAATTTTGTCAAGACGCATGTGCTCACGGGAGAGACAGAAAACAAGAAATCACCCCCAAGGGAAGATAGCCACACCACAGTTCTTTTCCTCTATTCTCTTCTCAGGATTTCAGGCATGCATATACATATGCCTGGCACGAATTTCAAGC